GCGCCACCACCACCCACCACCCCCACCTGCCACCACTATCCACCCACCCGTTACCACTTTTCACCACCGTTTTCCGCCGCCACCACCCGCCACTTGCCACCACTTTCCACCACCGTCTTCTGCCACTATCACCCACCACCTGCCACCATTTTCCACCACCGTCTTCCGTCGCCACCACCACCCGCCATCATTTTCCAGTACCGTCTTCCGCCGCCACGACTCGTCACCACCCACCACCACTTGCCATTTCTCACTCTTTTTTATATTTTTAAAATTTTCTAAACATTTTATCTAAACCAAATGCGCTTGTAGTTTATGTTTTTCTAAAAATACACAAAAATCAGTTTATAAAATTTTTGTAAATATAAACTGAAAACGTAAGTTTATATTTACAAAAATTTAAAAAACTGTCATAAAAACTTGATTGATAATTTTTTTGGTTTATAAATGATTGTCTTAGTTTATAAATTTGAGGAAAAAAATGTAAACTCAAAAAATAAGTTTACATTTTCAGTTTTCAATTTTCAATTTTTTTTTCAAATATTTTTTCTTCAAATATTTTTTTTTCAATTAATCTTTTTTTCAAATATTTTTTTCCCAATTAATTTTTTTTTCAATTATTTTTTTAATTAATTTTTTTTCATTTTTTTCACATAAATTTTTTTCGATTAATTTTTTTAAAATTAATTTTTTTCAATTAATTTTTTTTCAAATATTTTTTTTCCCAATAAATTTTTTTTCAATTATTTTTTTACTTAATTTTTTTTTTCATTTTTTTCAGTTAAATTTTTTTCAATTAATTTTTTTTTCATTTATAATGTGTGCAATCCCATTGTCATAAACAATAAATATAAATATAAATATTTTAGGTCTGAACAAACATATTTTTTAGATTATTTTTTTAAAATTTTTTAAACACTTTGTTCAAACCGAACGCATTTATAATTTACGTTTTTCTAAAAGTAAACAAAAACTTGTTTATAAAATTTTTGTAAACATAAATCAAAAACGTAAACATTACCAAACGCGTAAATTTTTGTAAGCACCACAATTACGTATCGGCCATCATGTAAGAGGGTTCGAATAAGTGTCCGAATGTTCGAAGCCTAATGTATGAGAAACGGTAAGTAAACACCATAATTACATATTTGCCATCATGCAAGAGGGTCCGAATAAGTGTCCGATTGTTCGAACCCTAATGCATGAGAAATGGTAAGTAAATATGATGATTACATATCTGCGATCATTGAAGAGGGTCCGAATAAGTGTCCGAGTGTTCGAACCCTAATGCATGAGAGATTGCAAGTAAACACGATAATTACATATCTGCCATCATGCAAGAGGGTCTGAATCAATTTCCGAGAGTTTGAACCATAATGCATAAAAAATGGTAAGTAAACACCATAATTGCATATCGGCCATCATGCAAGAGGGTCCGAATAAGAGTCCGAGTGTTCGAAGCCCAATGGATGAGAAATGGTTAGTAAACACGATAATTACATATCTGCCATTATGCAGGAGGGTCCGAAGAAGTGTCTGAGTTTTCAAACCGTAATGCACGAGAAATGACTAGCAAACACCATAATTACATATCTGCCATCAGGCAAGAGGGTCTGTATAAGTGTCTGGATGTTCGAACCCTAATGCACGAGAAATGGTTAGTAAACACGATAATTACATATCTATCATCATCCAAGAGGGTCCAAACAAGTGTTCAAGTGTTCGAACCATAATGCATGTGAAATGGTAAGTAAACACCATAATTACATATCTGCCATCATGTAAGGGGGTCCGACTAAGTGTCCGAGTGTTCAAAGCCTAATGTTTGAGAAATGGTAAGTAAACACGATAATTACATATCTGCCATCATGCCAGAGGGTCCGAATAAATGTCCGAGTATTCGAACCATAATGCATGAGAAATGGTAAGTAAACACCATAATTACATATCTGCCATCATGCAAGAGGGTCCGAATAAGTGTCCGAGTGTTCGAACCCTAGTGCATGAGAAATAGTAAGTAAACACGATAATTACATATCTGCCAGCATGCAAGAGGGTCCGAATAAGTGTTCGAGTGTTCGAACCATAATGCATGAGAAATGGTAAGTAAACACAACAACATATCTGCCATCATGCAAGAGGGTCCGAATAAGTGTCCGAGTGTTCAAACCCTAATGCATAGGAAATGGTAAGTAAACACAATAATTACATATCTGCCATCATGCAAAAGAGTCCGAATAAGTGTCTGAGTGTTCGAACCCTAATGCATGGGAAATGGTAAGTAAGCACGATAATTACAAATCTGTCGTTATGCAAGAGGGTCCGAATAAGTGTCCAAGTGTTCGAACCATAATTCATGAGAAATGGTAAGTAAACACCATTAATATTTCGGCGTTGTCTTTGGCGACGACCATCAAGGACTTGTGCAACAATAGAACATCCGGCTCGTATTTTAAAACCAACCACCGAAATTGTTCAAAATCTCCGGGATCCATTGCAAAATAAGACAAATCCACACATTATTTTGCCTTTAACAATAGTATTTATGATGCGCTTTCCCTATTCAATCTTTTAATCCGGACCACAAATCTGGGAGCGGAGTGGAGCCGAGCCCTGTAACCGACAACACTGCACCAAATGCAGAAGGGAGCACCAATCCGGGGACGACACGTGGCGCGGGGAGAGCGTCCCAGGTAATATTAGTGGGACCCTCCGAGAACCATATATAACTCACTCCCTAACTCTCTAGCATCAGTAAAGTTTTTGGAGAGTGACTTGTGTCATCAGAGGG